AAGCGTTGTACATTTGCTGTTATGTTAAATTTATATTAAAGTTTTTCTTCATTACCCATTCAAGCCGTCTCCAACCATTATTAGTCTCAAAGTGGGTTCTTCGCCATCAAATTTGTTTATTATGTAAGTTTGGACACATTGTTAGATGTGCAAGTAGAATCGTGAAGGAAATGCTAATATTTATTTAAATCAAAAATAAGTTTTTAAATGAAGACTTTTATCAGTAGCTACTTCTCGTAAATGTAATTGCATTGAAAAAACTTCCCCACAACTGGATCGGTAATCATACTTAATTTCGTACATAATTTGAATTGGAGTTATGAAAGCTGGAAATTTAGGACTTTTGTATGAGTGTGAGTTTGTTTATTTGTTGTTAAGCACAAAGCTACATAATGAGCTATTTGTGCCGTGTCATGTCGAAACCTGATGTTTAGCGTCATAAGACCAGAGACTATGTGCGTGTGGTGTGGACGAGTTAAACATAAATACGTTACATACCACTAGATGGCATAGTTTACCTTTTGAAACTTCAGTCTCACCATCGTTAAATTTCGAAAAGTAACGAAAAATTGGAAAGATTTATAGCAATCATAAAACAGGAAGTGCGTGACGTTCAGGCTCTGCAAGACACAAATAAAACCACCCGACGGCTGTTAATCCTCCCTCCCACCCCCATTTTGCTATTACATACAAATTGGGCTAGTATGAAATCATACCTTCTTACTCTTGTGGTGAGGCTACTGATGTGTGATTGGAACATCAAACCCGTTTTCTCTTCTTGACAGGCTTAATGCTTTCGTAGACGTACCAGCAAATATAGCTACTTTTTTATTTATTATTGTCTGATTCTAACAGTAGTTTGTATTTGTGATTTGCTTGCTGTTAATTTGTTATGTGTAGTTTTACCTCATTCTCGTGAAATAAATATTTAGAAACTCTTTGATTCGTAAAATAATAATATTGTTGTACGAAAACTGTGTGATTTTGAATGATTTTCCATTTTTGGAAACATCATAAGTTCATATAACTTCCTTATAAGCCAGCCTGATGTAACAATTAAAGTAAGATCATTTGATAGAAGCGGATATACAGATAAGTTCTTTGTCATTATTTATACCTTAAAATTAGAAATCAAATCGACTTTTATATATCGTGCAATTGAAAACAAAATGGAACTTTTCTTTGTCCCTCCCCCATTGCTAAAAGGTAAGCTTGACAGTTAAGAATATAAAATCGGGATCAATTCTTGCAGATAGTCCATTGCGTAGTTCTGGACTTAACGACAAAACATTTTTTTTTATTATAAGGTTGCAATGATCTCGATTAAATGAACTATAATGGGGGGAAATTTTTAGGTTATTTGATTTATGTGTTTTAGATTATTTGATTTATGTTTTAATAAAAGACAATGGCAGTTTTTAAATTATATTTTGTATTTTAGAGGTATTACTTGTCTGTCTTTAGATTAGTAAATTAAACTCCTTCCCCTTAAGAATGCAGGTCTGGAGATGGTTTCGTGTAAATGCTGGTTTGAAATACATATTCCAGGTAATTGTTCTTAAACGTAAAAATTTTCGTCCCAATTTTCGTTGCTTCTATTACGAATTAGCAGGGTTCATAAGTGATTGATTTATGAAATAAGAGTAATGTTCTAATAATCTTGTGAGTAAAAAAAAAATATTTTGACTAACGTAAAACAACATTTAGGCGAATTCTTCTTCTAGAAACAATCACTTTTCACATTAGTTATTGTAGAAGACTAAGAAATGTGTGGCAACCGTGAAAATATTATACCTGATGATGACAAAACCTTGTCGAAACGTTGTACATTTGCTGTTATATTAAACTTATATTAAAGTTTTTCTTCATTACCCATTCAAGCCGTCTGCAAGCATTATTAGTCTCAAAGTGGGTTCCTCGTCATGGAATTATCCAGTTTGCTATCTAGACCAATTAATACTGTTGTTTAGGAATCCACTTGAAAATATGGCTCCATATATTCCTTTCTAATGACCCAACTGGGTATGGTCCCTTGACATACATCTATGACAGAAATGTACTTACAGTTTCTTTAGTGATTTGTTTCTAGAAAGTCTTTTTTGTTGTTGTTTTTTTTTTTCTGTACAGACAGAAGCGATTAGGTTTTTGCTTCAATTTCAACCAAACAATTTGGCCAAGCCAACTTAAACATATCACACAAGATACTTTATCAATATGCCATCAATGCCTTGAAACGAACTAGGCTTTGTTTTCTGTTTATATAATAGCTTCTTCGTGTTTCGCTTGTCAATTCCAGATCCTCCACAAAATTTAGGTTTAGAATTAATTCAGAAGTTAAAATACTTCATAAAACAAGCAATATGATGTATCTGTTTGAAACTTGAGGATTATGATCCAACCTAAGACAAAATTTATAACGAAATAACTATATTAAAAAATGGTATTATTAAACAGTTCCCACCCGATTGTTGTTATAAAGTTTATTTAGAATTGCGTACAATAAAATGTAAATAATCTGACATTGTGTTAAACAAGACATTCAGGAATAGCGTATTTTAATCGGTCGTGTATGGAGTATGTAAGCAGAAGGCGAAGGAGGAGAAGCAACCAAACGTATTTTGCTGAATTCCTTCACAGTAACATCCATGATGAGTCGTATCCGGTAGAATCAATATATTTTAGCAGTATTTAAACAATCTAAAAACTCTACACTTGGCTTCAAACCTTAAATTAATCCTATAAAATGCTTTGCTCATGTCTTTTTTTTAAATTTTTGTTAAGCAGTTTCAATCATAAGAATAAGTAATGACTTTTTTTATCCACGTACAGAGTGTGTGTGTGAAAGCGGTCGTTTCGTAAGAGTGTAAAACTGTTGCCAAGTCCATACTTTGGCGTTCATGGTAGAAGTCGACAAATGACTACTTGAACTCTTATATTGACTATTCCTAACTTTACATTTCTTTTCTAAAGAAATCAGTTGAATATTAAAAATCGTTTTTGTGTCTGTGTAATCATATTGTAATAAAAGCACGCCATTATACATGTATGTATATGTTTATAAACAAATAAAATTGAATGTTGTGTAATTTGTTTGTAATTAACACAAAGCTACACAATGGGATTCTAGCGTTGTAAGTCCGCAGACATACCGCTGTGCCACTGGGGGCCAGTTGTGTAATAACCGTATAATAAAGTAATTCAGTACATTTACCTTTCTTACTTTATAAAAAAAATCAGGAAAAATAGAAGATAGCTTTAAATTTCATAGATGATTTTATTTTCCTGTCTACAAAGCGTCCCACTGTAGGTCAGCGTTAAGTTTACGAACATACAACGCTAAAATTTGGGGTTCGATTTCCCACGGTGGAGATAGCACATTGTGTAGCTTTGCGCTAACAATAATAATTTTGCGAAACACTGAACTTACTAAAAAATTCTTAAAACAGGCAGGTTTTGATATTTTATGCGAAGATTTTCCCGACTTTGATATTAAATACTGTTATGGGAAGTAAAAATACGTTACTAGCTTTTGACCGATAAAATAAAAATTATGCATCCAAATCAACACAATTTACTAAGATATATTCTTAAGACATATGTAGATTGTTAACTTCATAATTTTCATTATACTTTTTATCAAATAATGTGGAAATATTCACTCAGTGCATAGCCTACATATTAGCTTATGGAACCGTAAAATCTTAAGTACTTATGTTTGATATCTTTACCAAGTTCCTTTATATTCGAGTGGTCTGATAGAAATCATTGTCCCCATTGTACTTACATACCATTACATGTCCTGTAGGCTGCAACCTAGTTGTCCACAAACTGCAAGTAGAACAAATTGATATTTACAGATTCTGACGATTGTGAAAAAACACATCATCATCATCACAGGGACAGATGAGGTAAAATGTATGCTGCTACAGTGCGTCACTCAGAGAATAAAATACATTCTACTACACTATAGAATAAGAGTGAATTCCACTTCAATAATACGTCACTCGTAGAATAAAGTTATTTCTACTTGAACACGCTACCCTTGAACAAATTGTATTCTATCGCAAAAATAATTTCACTGCAATGTATCACGCATCCCTCGCTGTTACATTCAGTTATAAGTGCACTTCCCGAAGTTAATGTTACAACTAACTTGGCTACCATCTACGCTTGCATACTTGTAATTGCAGCATGAATTTTCTACTGAAATACTTTATCTAAATTTAATCAAAAACTAAAACACGTGTTCTTCTACTGGTGTTTAAAGTAAAGGTACACAACGTAACTAAATGTTACAAAACTGTTTGAGAAGAATATTCGGATATATCATTCAAAGTATCATCAGAAAAGGAGTAGATTTATATATGTGTTTAATAAGTAGTGTTCCTCTTCTGTACTATGACATAACAACATTATATACAAAGTTTGATACTACATTTAATTTTTGTACTAGAATTTCCTTTACTAGAAAGAACTTTCAACGATAACGTCAAATATTACTTTTTAAAGGATGCTATACAAAGTTGAGTGGGATGTATTACCATTTAAAAACTTATCATAGTTTCTAGATTTTTGCACTTATTCCTTTTATTGGTGTTTGGAGTAAATGTATATCTCACAAATATATATATATAAAAAACAACAACAACTTTTTATTGACTTACAGAGACTCTGAGAATCCTTTATATCTATTTGACAGTACTGATGTAAAGATCACCTACTCATACGATATTAACAATGTAAAGTTAGAAGTAAAATGTCAACTATGTATTTGAAATATGCAGACTAGTATGTTTTAAGGCGACTGTTGTTCAATTGTTATGTATATGCTTAGAATAATCCGTTTTCTTATATCAGTCACAAACAGTAAAACATCCTTTACATTGGGTTAGTTTCATACGTCAGTCTTCTTTATATTGTAAGTAAGAATAAAATACACATTTCAATCACGAGTGTAGTCATAAATTGCTTGAACTAAAATGTAGTATTTGTAATATCATTTTCCTTTTTCTTTCTGTTGAGGTTTACTGAAGAATATTCTTGGTTTAGTTATTCAAAATTTTTCTGTTTACTGTTAAGCACAAAGCTACACAATTACACAATGGGTTATTTGTGCTCTGTCCACTGCGCCCGCGGGTATCGAAACAATATTTCTAGCGTTATAAACTTTAAGGCTTAATGCTGGGCCACGGGGGCAATTATTCGGGATCTTAAGGAAAACCCTTCAAAGGGATGGGAATAATGAAAGTAATATTTTGTAGTATATATATATATTACGTTCATACCTTTTATGATTTCGAAATATTTGGAGAAATGAATAAATATTTCAAATTAAGTGCGATTTTGGTGTTGAATTTATGTATAGATATAATTATACAAAAATTCGCAAAATTGAAAACCAGTGATGAGCAAATCTTTAAAAAAAAATAGTGATTTGTACAACGCTTTCTTCTGGGTTACCATGTTGACCCAGTTCTGTGCTTTGACCTTTTCCTACAACTTTGAAAACTTTCCTAACACACAGGTGCTTTGGTGGCTCAGCAGCAAGTATCGGAGCTTATGACGCTAGAAATCGGGCTTTGAAACCCGCGGTAGACATAGCACAGGTGGCCTACTGTGTAGCTTTGCGTTTAACAACAACCAGACCAAATTTAACGCACCGAAAGTAGTAAAACAAGAATTTTCTTTTTCTGTTCGAAAGTGTTTTTCTTCAAATTCCTCAAATTAAAAATAGGAACAGAAGATATATTCAGTTTATTTTATGTGAATTTTAATTAGGGAATATCTGTATTATATCACTAGTGTTGTCGTTTTTAATTGATATTCAAAATGATTTCTGGACCTTTTGCAACAACATTTGTAAAGAAATGTTCAGCTTAATATGCGCAGTTGATAGTTTTCTTTATTTGCTTCAGAACTTTAAAACAATGTACTATTTGTTTTTCCTAAATTTGGAATAACATGATAACTCTTTTTGTATGTTTATGTTTTCATTGTAGTACATTTTTTGGTATTTTAAATCTTTTTTTTTCTTTTTTTAAACAACATTAGCTGATTTTATAAAGTCGAATTGCACATTGAACTTAACAACGCTAGAGCGATAAAGAAAATTATTAATAAATACATATATATATAAATATATATCATTTCATTGCTGTTTTCGAACTATGGATATTGCTTGCTGAGCGATCCAATATTGCACATAAACACATTGAATCTGTCGGCACTTAGTGAAAAATGTCAGACCGTAATTGTTTGTTTTTACTAAGCACAAAACTACACAATGGGCTATCTGTGCTGGGCCCACTATGGGTATCGAAACCAGGTTTTATCGTAATAAGCCTTCAGACTTTCCGCTGAGCCACTGCTGGGGATGGGGGCATCAGACCGTAAATGGCTATTGTTTGAGTTTTATTCGTCAAAATATATTTATGCATATATACGTCAAGAGTATAGACAGACATATAAGGGTCCTATTATCATTGTATGATAAAATGTTGCACCACTTGCTGCTCGTTAATATGCCTGCATATCACACATGCGTAATGCTTAAGTGTAGGCACTACTCCAAGCAAGTTGGCTCGTAACGTACTTTTCACGATTGATTAGGCATATAGGTCGTATGTGCTTTATACCAATTAACGAGAAATTAGTCATAGAATTTTAAATCTTACATTACCTGGTTTATACTTAAAGAGGTTATATAGTAGGTGTGCGCTACTTTATCCGACTTTCCGTGTTAGGAAACAAGCAACCGCAGTCTATATATATATATATATATATATATA